ATGGGAGAGTGATGTAAATTGCTTCAGGTGAAGTCACAGTAGCAACATAATAGTCCTAGATGTAAATTCTAGATGTTTTTCCACAAATCGATAACCGTCTACACATGGAAATTGCCCTGTGTCTAAAATTTAATCTGCAGAAACTAGACTATAGAGACTGTCCCCAATAACATTTCTTATGACATTTCATTGCCAATCCCATCACCTTGGAAGAGCCAGCTCAGCTCCAAGAAGGCCTTGCTTGTGTTTTTCTTCTCTCATATCCAGAATATTTAAGTTGATTTCTGCCCAAGTGGTTGATACCTGATGAGCAGAACAATTTCACTATTTTCACTTTCACCTTTTGCATTAGGAGAATAATAATAATCCTTGCATTTGTTATATGCACTTATCAGGTCGAGATATCTCAAAGTACTTCACAGCATTTGTTGTAAAGTGTGATGACTGTATTTTGTATGTAAATGAAAGACAATAAAACCAATTTTATTTGGGAGAAACTTCCTGTCCTTTTAGAGCTGAGGGTGGGAGCTGGCTAGCAGGCTAGTTGCAGGATTTCTGTTTTAGTACAAAATGGTCTGCAAATTCAGAAAGGTGGGGGGAAAGAGGAAAGGTGAGGCAAGCGAGAATCTAAGGGTAAATGTGTCATTGAATAATGAGGTTCTTCAAGCTCAGCTTCAGTCAACTCTGCAAGTTCTTGTTCTAAAGAGTAGGGTAGCAGTTGGACAAGCAGCGAGAAGCTTGCCATTCTGTACCTGTGTATTCCAGGCATAGCCTGTGGATAGTTGTACAGAAAGATGGTAACTTTAGAATGTGGTGATCGGCAAGGAATTGCACCTGTTCTGTTAAAGTTTCTTTAAAAATCTCTTCTTTACCTTCAAAACGATCGCAAGAAACATATCTCTGTCTGCTTTTGATCCAATTGGGTCACAAAAGACCCCCTATTGTGGCAGTCTGTGGCAGACTGCCTGTCAGACATGAAGTCCTGGATGAGAGCCAACTTTCTACAGTTGAACGTCAGCAAGACCAAGGTTCTCGTGATTGGCTCATGTCAGTGCATCAGCACCTCAGGCACTGACAGCATGAGCATCCAAGATGCATACTCCACCTCACCAAGCCAGTTAGGAACCTAGTTGTCTTGTTCGACCCTCATCTGAACTTTCTCCCCCACATCCGTGCCATGACCTGCTCTGCCTTCCCCCACCTCTACATCATTGCCCAACTCCGCCACTGCCTCACCCCTCAGGCCGCCGAAACCCTCAAACAGGCCTTCATCACATCCAGGCGCAACTAGGCCTGCTTGTCGGCTTTCCCAACTCTTCCCTCCACAAGCTGCAGATCATCCAGAAACTCTGCAGCTCATGACCTCTTCCACCCCAGGCTCCGCTACTCCACCACACCCACCCTCACCCAGCTCCACTGGCTCCCCATCCCTCAGAGGATCAAGTTCAAAATTCTCGTCCTCATCTTCAAGGTCCTCCAGGGCCTTGCCCCCTCCTACCTCTCTGACCTGCTGACTCCCTACCAACCTGCCCTCTCCCTCCATTCAACGGGCTCCCGTCTGCTCCATGTCTTCCACCCTACCTCTCTTCTCCCTCTGCTCAGCAGGCTCTGGCCTGCTCCATGTCCCCCATCCAGCCTGCCCCACCATTGGTTGTTGGGCCTTCAGCCTCCCTGACCCCACCCTCTGGAACTCTATCCCGCAATCCCTTCATCTCGCTCCCTTGCCGTCTCCTAGGCTCATCTCAAGACCCTCCTCTTTGACTGTGCCTTTGGCTACCCTCTCTATCCTCCACCCTCCCTGATTCCACCCAACATAAAAGACATTACACCAAATATAAGGACTATTATTTAGGAAGATTTCTAGGGTATCTTGCAGAAAAATGATAATCAAGTGGAAATGGGAGAATGTTTAGAGCAGAATATTCCCACTATCTCTAAGTTCAATGAATCCCCCCCAAAAAAGATTTTAAATTTGCACTTTTAAAATACCTGGGGTAATGTGCTGCATTCTTCTGAGCAGCCTAGTATTGCCCTTGGTGGAGTAACAGTTTAAGAACAAATAAATTAAAATAATTTATTTGCTGCACTGAATGGTTGTTGCAACATGCTCATAAAGACATTACGATGAATTAGGGAGCAGCAACCTTAATGTTTTGTAGCGCTATGGTCAGTTCTATTGGATCTCTCTTTTTCCCCTCGGGCAGTAATGATTGTAAATAGGTACCAGTAAGAAACATTACAGTTATTAGTAATGGTTTGGGAAGGTCAGGGGTCCTGGTAGGCGGCTGCTACTTGGCAGTAGACAGATGCTCAATTATTTTTGTGCAGCCTATCCTGTGGGGCTTTAATTCATCCAATAAAGGCTTATTTTTCTACCGGATAGTGTATACTGAAGTAGGGACAGCCTGCTTGTATATCTCCTGTGGAATTCTCAGTTAAATTTTCCTTCTCTCCATCTCCCCTCACTGTGGCACTTTCGCTGCGTAAATGCCACAGGGCGATAATTGAAACCATGCATAACTGAGCCAAGCCCTGATCAACCGCACCATCTGCTGTGTTGATTTACTGCTCCTCAACACAATCCAGCTGAACAATAAAAAGATCAGAAGATTAGGGTTGCAATCCAGTAGATACATGGCCAGTTTCAAGAAGCTGGTGTGAATGCTGCAAAGTATTATAGTTGGACATTGAGGGAGTGGAACACCTTCCTGCTTAAGTACTGTGGGCTGATGAGCCCTTGTTACCGTACCATATGTATGTAATCTATTATGGCCCTCACTCTTGGGGATTCCACAACAGCCCAAATCATGCTGCTGTCTCTACATTTACCTTTCTGAGTCCCTGTGGAAGGACAGTAAAACTCCTGGAGTTCTTCAGTAAAGCATTCATCCCCTGCTGCACATTGGGACACCTGGGACATTGCAAGTTCATTCTTTGCCCAGATGACTTTTCCTTGTTGCTCGAGTACAAACTAGAAATATCTAGTTCTTGCATTTGCAACACACGACAAGGATAATGTGTTGAGTTAGATCACTAAGCAATGGTCATTTTCTATTGAGGCAGTGATTGCTTCCCATTCAGTGAAGCCAGTTCAGCCAACTACAGTATACAGTATAAGGGTAGGGTAGACATTCTTGAACTGTAGGGTGTCCGAGAGAGAGTGAAAAGGCATACTTGTTTTGATGTGATTGGCTTTCAGCTATCTGCCCAGATCTCTAATTCCATACCAGTGTCCCTCTAATTCACTCGTTCCCTACCCTCTTTCAAGGCACATCTCAAAACATACTACTGTGACTCGGCTTTCAGTCATCTTTCCCCTTCTCACCCCCAGCCGAGGTGCCCATCCAGCATCCTGAAGTGCTTTAAGACGCTCCTGGTATGCTGTGTAAATTGTACTGTAATTCATTTGTTTCACATAAACATCTTTGATACCTTTTAGTGCAGTTGGTATTTTACACTGAGTTACAGCAATTTTGGGGTTGTGGGTCTGTGCTGTTTTGGAACAAGACCACACTCTACAAACACTTCGCCTGAGATTTGGAGTGTAAAAGTGAAAAGATGATGTTGAATTTGTATGAAAACTCAGTTAGACCACATTCAGAGTACTGTCCAACTCTGGACACCACACTACAAGAAGGGTATAACAGCATAGTAAAGAGTACAGCATAGCTTTACTGAGATGATATCAAGGCTCACAGGTTACTGCTATCAGGATAAGCTGAATAGGTTAGGTCATTTTTCCTAGAGAAGAGACCTATTAATAATAATAATAATCCTTGCATTTGATATAGCGCTTTTCACGTCTTCTAGATGTCCCAAAGCGCTTCACAGAATATACTGTAAAGTGAATTGACTGTATATTTGTGGGCGAACGCGGCAGCCAATTATGCACAGCAATGTCCCACAAACAGTCGTAGATTGAAAAATGACCAATTTATTATTGTTTTGTTTTTTTGGAGGGATTATTATTAGGCGTGTGGAGTAAGGAAACTTGCCCAAGGTTTCGCCCTGCCTGGAATTGAACTCAGGTCTCTCGCTTGCAAAGTGAGTGCTCTAACCACTGAGCTACAGGACTCGTTATATTAAATTATAAAAGGGATCGACAGGTTTAATATAAGTAAGCCGTTCACCCACTTGTTGGCAATCTGTAACCAGTATAAGACTATGACTAGGGGATCTGAAAGAGAATTTAGGAATAACTATTCACGCAGAGAGTAAAAGCAATCCGAAACTCTACCTGTGTGAAAGCCACTGTATAAATGCCAGGTGGTGTCAGTGTGCTGCTACTATAGTGAAAATGTGGAACTTTGTCCAAAGTGGCGGTGGGGATTAAATCAACAACAGCAACTTGCATTTATATAGCACCCTTCACGCGAGGTAGCATCCTGGAGCTCTTCATAATGTGGTGGAGTCTTACAACGAGCTAGGGGGAGGGGGGTGGGATGTGACTGTAAGCACTATCAAAAAGGAAGGTCTTCAGGTGGGATTTGAAGGTGGAAGGGAGGCTATAATCAAATGGCATAGATGTATTTAAGAGGAAACTTGATATACATGAGGGAGGAGGGAATAGATGGGTATTGGAGGGAGTGGGTGGAAACTCATGGAAAAAACCCAGCATGGACTAGTTTGGTCTATTGGCGTGTTGCCATGCTGTACAGTCTATGTAAATCCACATGAAGACTCATCTAACTGGCTAAAAGGAACCTTTTATCATTGGTTTAAGTTTAATTTAGCCTGGTCCCTCGAGGTTAATAGTGTGTTAACCCAAGGTTTCAACCAGTTCCTTAGTTTTTCATTTGTTTATGTAATATATTAACATCTTTGATTGTATACGTCCAAGTAAGATTCCTTTCAGCTACCACATACAAAATCTGTATTTAGCGCTAAGTTGTTATGTATTTTGTTAAATTCATGGTATATTTGTTCTAGTTTTTAAATTGTTGTGAATGCACAAGCTTTGTAAATTGAACTTAATGTCAGCAATACAATCTTTTTTCCAGAGGGATGATGAAGAGAATGCACCAGATCTAAAGGAAGAGGAAATCGCTGTGATCCAGAAACTTGAACAGACAATTGAGCAACTAAGGGTCAAAATAAACGAACTGGAAAAGCAATCTGTCCAACTAGACCATGAAAGCACTCAAAAGAACTATGAATCTGATTGTGTGGATATACCTTCAAAAGTCTTCTGTGATGTTCACCTTCAAACAGACGAGCAGACTTTTCTCCTGTACAGGTCATGGAATTCTTTTGCAGAAGCTAAGTCTGTACAGACTTCCCCTACTCAAGAATCTGTAACTATTGAAGTGCCTTTATTGCATAAACCATCACAACCTCCAACTCTGAGCTACAGTGTTCCTTCATCTCAGGATCGTTCTGCATCTCTTGTTCCAGGATCAAGAACTCCGATATCTCCCTGTAGTAGTTTGCAGCCACTATTGCCACCTTCATCTACATCTACACCTAGTTCTGAAGCCATTGGAATCCCACCTCCAGCTCTTTTACCAGACTATGGAATACCTCCGCCTCCCCCTCTTCCTGGTTTTGGAATACCTCCACCTCCCCCTCTTCCTGGTTTTGGAATACCTCCGCCGCCCCCACTTCCTGACTTTGGAATTCCTCCGCCTCCCCCTCTACCCAGCTTTGGCATTCCCCCGCCTCCCCCTCTACCCAGCTTTAGCATTCCCCCACCTCCCCCTCTTCCTGGGTTTGGCATTCCCCCGGCCCCCCCTCTACCCAACTTTGGCATTCCCCCGCCTCCCCCTCTTCCCGGGTTTGGCATCCCCCTGCCTCCCCCTCTACCCAGCTTTGGCATTCCCCCACCTCCCCCGCTTCCCGGAGTTGGCATTCCCCCACCTCCTCCTCTACCCAGCATTGGAATACCTCCGCCTCCCCCTCTTCCCGGCTGTGGAGTCCCTCCACCTCCCCCTCTTCCCGGCTGTGGAGTCCCTCCACCTCCCCCTCTTCCCGGCTGTGGAGTCCCTCCGCCTCCCCCTCTTCCCGGCTGTGGAATTCCTCCGGCACCACCACCCCCAGGACATGGTCCACCAGCTCCACCTTTTCCTCCAACAAATCATGGTTTTCTTCCTCCACCTCTTCCACCTGGGCTTTTTGCGTTTGCAATGACTAAAGAAAAACCTTCCAGGAAAGTTGTAATTGACCCTTCCTGTCCAATGAAACCTCTGTACTGGTCAAGGATACAGATAAGTAGCAAAAGGTACTGAGGATCTTGTTCATGTGCAATTATGCAGTCAGCAAAAATATGCATTATAATCTTTTTCTTTAGGAAAAATTGCTACATAGTGACAACTGAAATTTACAAAAACAATCTCAAGTTGGGGATGGTAGAGATATCCACAAACTGGCTATCTATTATCTTTAAACATTCAACAAATATTCTTGTATCGTCCTTTCCCCTTCATTTTAGTGAGACACTGCTGTATCCTTAAGCCAATGTATAGTATATTGAAATGTTGTGGGCAATTTTTGGCTCTTCAGAGAAGGTTCAGAAAAGAGCAATGAAAATGATTTGGGCTATTTGCAGTGCCTTAGATGCAAGGAGAGGCCTGTGTGTGCGGGGGGAGGGGACGTGGAGGGTTTGGGGGTGGGGGGGCTGGTACGGAGGATCAATTCCCTAAAGAGAAGAAGTTTGAGGGAAGACATGATTTGATCTGTTTGAAATGAATGGCACAAATGTAAATTTGCTATTTGGACTGTAATTGCAAAACTCGAGGCAAAGATACAAAATTTATGAACCTCACGCCAATCTACCAATTAGGATTGATTGTTTTTGTTCATTGAAGAGTTATGAACTAGCTCCCAACAAAAGCAATTTTGCTTTTATCAATTAATTCAGAAAGTATATACAGTTGGGAAGCAATGTGACAAGTGTTGATGATGGGTGCTGACCGAAACAAAGGATATTTGGGACATATGTGTTAATCGTCCATGTAGTTGTCCCCAAGATCACAGAAGTTGACAAGTCTCCAAATAAGTTCATCAACAGACATTTGGCTTTCTCTAACAGCCTATTTTGGAGTGAAATCTGTCCTATCACCTATAATATAAAAAAAATTGCACCAACATTCAATCATAACTGTTACTATTGTCCACTTCCTTATCATTAAAATCGCCATTTACTCACAACCTGCACAAGTGCAGGATTTTGTAATAAGGAGTCTGAATAATGCAATTGGAGATTCTTTCCAGTTCCCAGAGGTTTATCACACCGACTTGTGAGAACTCCACTTCAGTATGAAGGTTGTGCAAGGCCATGGGTCATTGGGGGGTGGAGGGGGAAGGATAGGTCAGTGGGGAAGAGAATGCCTGAAAACAGTGCTTTTCCTATGATTGAATTTGGTGAAAACTTTTTTACAGGTGATAGAACAGATTTCACTCTAAGTAGGCTGTTAGAGAAAGCTCAATAGCCTAAGTTAACTTTTTGTTTTAGGTATTATAGTTTTTATATATTGTCCTCTGCTGTGCTTAACAATCCTTGGTTATCGTTATCTGACAATGTTTGGCATCAGACAGAACTGTGATTGGAGTGATGTGATTCAGTTGATGGTATTCTGTTGTATTCATCAATTGTATACACATTTTAAGACCATAAGACCACAAGACGTAGGAGCAGGAGTAGGCCATTCGGCCCCTTGAGCCTGCCCCACCATTTAATAAGATCATGGCTGATCTTCTAACCCAATTCCATTTATCCGCCCTATTCCCATATTCCTTAATCCCTCCATCCTTTAGAAATCTGTCAACCTCAGTCTTGAATATGTTCAAGGACTGAGCATCCACAGCCTTCTGGGGTCGAGAATTCCACAAATTCACTACCCTCTGAGTGAAGAAATGTTTCTTCAACTCAGTTCGAAAAGGCTGACCCTTAATCTTGAGACTATGACCCCTAGTTTTAGATTCTTCAACCAGGGGAAACAGTCTCACCGCATCTACCCTGTCAAGACTCGCAAGAATCTTGTAGGTTTCTATAAGATCACCTCTAATTCTTCTATATTCTAGAGAATATAGGCCTAGTTTACTCAACCTATTTTCATAGGTCAACCCCCTCATCCCAGGAACCAACCTAGTGAATCTATGCTGCACCCTGTCTAAGGAACATGGCATTAGCCTTCCTAGTTGCTTGCTGTACCTGCATACTATTTTGTGACTGGTGTAGAAGGACATCCAAATCCCTCTGAACACTAACACTAGTTTCTCCCCCTTTAGAACATAATCTGCTTTTCTATTTTTTCTACCTAGGTGAATAACTTCACACTTCCCCACGTTATATTCCGCTTATCTTTACTTATCTTATTTTTTGTCTTGTATATGCAATTTTACTGCACATCAAGATACTTGCATTTGATAAAGCTCAAATTGTGATGGATTTCTGAGAATTCACACAATAAATGGTTTCATCCTTTGGATGAGATGTTAAACCGAGGTCCCGTCTGCCTGTTCAGGTGGATGTTAAAGATCCCATAGCACTCTTGGAAAAGAGAAAGGAGTTTCTCCTGATGACTTGACCAACAATCCCCCAAGTAAAATTGGTCACCCATTTCATGGCTGGCTGTGGGACATTGCTGGGCAAAATTGTCCTGCTGGGTTTGCCTGCAAATATCAGTCACTCCATTTCACAATAAATCCTGTGATCCTTTGAGACTTCCTTCCGACATGATAAGGAGCTCTATCAAATGCAAGGAATATTATTATTTATCAATCCCAGGCTGAGAACAGTCTGGTGATGAGCTCCAGATCTCTTCTAATAACAGTGTAGATTTAGCCACAAGAATACATGCAATCAGGAGTTTAGTGAAATCATCTCATTTTTTCCTTGCGTATGTATAGGTGATGTCAGTGTGCTTGTGTCACAAGCAGTTGTGCAACCTTCCTCTGTTCCCTTTTGTATTGCTTCAATTTACTGTCTGGTTACAATTTGGTGGGTTTAACCAATGTGTCACATTGTGGTTGTAAACCTGAGTCTTAATGCTCTGCACCTTGAAGCAGTAGTTTAATTATTGAAACCTTTGATCTCCCTTCTACTGTCCCCTGGCAATCTGATTTTGATGCAGTCAAAATGTCTCAAGTTTCTCTCATGGAATGGGTCCAAAAGTTTGAAGGCCTTTGACCAATAAAAGTGTATAATCCAGAAACCATTATCTTCATTTCACTATTGTGCAATATTCAGGAGAAAAGAAGAAATAATATAACTTGCACATCCACCAATAGTACAGGTAAAGCTCAAATTGTGATGCAACTCTAAGGACTTCTCACAATAAATAGTTTTTGGGGGATTGTTGTGAAGGCAACACAGCTTCTCTACACCGATAACATCCCACATATAGCAATGAGATGAATGGAGATATTTAAACTTGTTTAATTAGGAACCAGGGAATCTCCTTGCTTTTCAAAGTAGTGAAAAGCAAGGAGTTTTCCTGGTATCCTAATTATGGGATCTTTAATGTCCACCTAAACCAGTAGAATAGTTGAAATGGACCATTGTCTAATGTCTTACCTAAAGAACTTTGAGCCAAAGAAACCAATGCATAATTATTAAAATCAGGTTAACAGTTTGATGAACGATGACCTTAAAATGTGTATTAGTAAAATCACTTGGGTGGGGGGAAGAAGGAGAAAGACATCTGTAAGGCAAAGTCAGAAATGACAGACCCAGATCGGATAAAGTCCCTTTGGCCCATTTGATCTCAGCTTTCCAGAATACCCAATCTACTGTATTCCCAATTTAGAGTCCAGAATCCAAGTGTCAACCACCACTTCTGGTATCCTATTCAATTGCAATCGCTTTCCATGTTAAAGGAATAATTGGATGGATTGAGAAAAAGTAATGACTTACAACTGCTAAATCCACTTCAAACACAGTCATGCATTCTCTCTGCACCACTGAGGTAATCAAGTTAAAGGTTGAGAATATTTATTCTCAAATATTTATCCTACAAAATAAAACATTTTTTCTGTGCTTAATTGTTTAAAATAATCCAAATACGTATTTGTGTCTTTGCTGTCTTACATCTATGCTTTCAATCCCATGCAAGTCATTCATATATCCTAATTGAATGTAATAATTACTGGAAGTTTGATGGTGGTACTAGAAATAACTTGGTTATAGCAAGTATATAATAATGGTGGAGTCAATTTACTGTTGATGCATTATAAACCGATCTCCATTACATTATTAATTTATAGATGCTTTGTCTGGATTTTGACTGATATGCAAGTGGAAAATTAGTTTATTGGATTGAGTAACTTTCTCCACATGGTTGGAATGTTAGGACTGTTTTTGTTAAACGTAGAGATGAACTATTTCCTTCCCTTCTCTTCAGAGAATCAGAATTATTGCCTATTTGGGAAGCTCTTGAAGAGCCCTCTATTAACACCCAGGAGTTGGAAACATTCTTTTCAAAGACAGCTGTTAAGGAGAGGAAGAAACCAATTCTGGACACCTATAGCAAAACTAAAACTAAGCAGGTGAGTGCTCAAGCATCTGTGTGACTCTCATATTTTGGCATTTTAAGGTTGGCTTTTGTACCATGTATATGTGGGTGGAGCAGAGCATCTAAAAAACAACTGTGCAAGATAATCTTACCAATGGATAATTCACTAATTTTTAGTAAATGTTGAAATCGCTGTGGTTTGGATCCCCTCTGCTCGAACAAATATTTCAATGATTGGCAGATAATTAAAACAAAACTTGTACCTGATAGTGTCTTTCACATCTAAGCTCTTCAGTGATTTTTACTATAAAGTGTGGTAACTGTATTTTGCAGGTGAATGCTAGAGTTCAACATGGTAAAGTGAGAGTAGTTACCTTTGGATCTAAGAAAGACAAATCAGAATGAATTCTTCATGGGCGAAAAATGATGACTGATGGATGAGTACTGGGATTTACAATTCCAGGTCCACAGGCCACAAAAGGCTAATGGGAGAGTAGCTTTTATCTCAAAACGGTTGGAATACAGAAGGAAGAAAACAATATTTCCTTTGTAGAGCCCTGGGTAGACATCATTTGGAGTATTGTGTTCAGTTTTCAGTCCATATCACAGGAACAATGCTCTGACCTTGGATGGTGTGCAGCACGTATTCACCAGAATGGTACCTGGAATAGAAGAGGCTTTATAATAAAAATGTAGGTAAATTTTTGTTATATTCCCTTGAGTCATTAAGATCGAGGGGTGGATCTGATGAAGTATTTAAAATGAAGGGATTTGACTCTCCCCCTCACTCTCCTCCCTCTCTTCCCTTCCTCTGTCTCTCGCAAGTGAGAGGACCTGGGTTTAATTCCCGGGCGGGATGAAAGCTTAGGCAAGTTTCCTTACTTCACACATTAACCTAGCAGTAAGTTGTTAGTCGATTGGCAGATCTCTTTCTGGGGGTAATAATCCCTTCCCCCACCAAAAGCAAATTGGTCATTCAATCCTCGACTGTTTGTGGAACCCTGCTATGTGCAATTGGCTGCTGCGTTTCACCCACAAAATATACAGCCATTCAACTTTATAGTGTATTCTGTGAAGCGCTTTGAAAGTTTGCATTCTGATTTTACCTTGGTAGAGAGGTTAAGAAGAAACATCCATTTGCAACTAGGCAGAGGTTATCTATCAATTTTCCAGTTAGTGTTTTAATTATACATGTCAGCAGTCTCATGGCAATGGTAATGTTGATTTAATTTCTCTGTTTAATGTATTATGCAGTGGGCAACACCTCCAACAATGCAGCATACTCCCAGCAATACAGTGGAGTGCCAACTTAAATAATGTAAGCTCAAAGGAATGAAGTGGGGCTTGAGCCCACAGCCTTTTAATCTATAGGGTACCAAATGAGCCAGGTTGACACCTTTAAAAATGATCAATGTGCTATTGATGCTGTGCTAGTCTGAGATACCACTCCTGAAAATCTTACTACCAGTTTGTTTACTATCTTTGGGGATTCTGTTTAAGTAAAAGTTGACCAAATAAAAGAATGTCTGGTTATTGGCTGTTCCTTAGTTTTCAAATAAAGTTCAAAATTTGCAAATTCTTTTTTCCCACAGGCTGCAGTTTCTCTATTTGACTTTATGAAGCTTTTTATTCTGCTTATCATTGTATCATTTCCCTGCTGAGCAAAAATAACTAAGGGCACAGTTCACAACAAAGCTCTACGTGCAACAGTTTAGAGAAATCTGCTCAAAATGCATTTTCTTAAAAACAAAATTGTATCCAGCTGTTTATATATTTGTGAATCGAGGGTGGACTTGGAAAGAATAACGACCAGAAGGATAAGCCTTCTGTGGTACTTTGCAAGAAATTCAAGAGATAAACAAAATCTGTGTAATTCTAGAAATTACAGCTATTAACAGACCATTCAGCTCCTCCAATGTGTTCTAATGCTAACTCTTGCACCAGAATTGAATCCACAATTCAAATTCTCTGTACTCTTTATTTTACTCCTTCTGGAATTTTTATTATTTATTTTTTAAACTATGTTTGGACGCTAAATGGTCGAACATCACATGCTGTGATAATCCTTCCCCTGAAGTCTTTCAGTTACATCTCTGAATTTTTTCCTCTTTGTTCTGAATCAACTGATCAACAGTAATAATCTATCTGCTGAAAAATCTTGTTGAGAAATTTTAAGTCCTTCATTACATCCCATCTTAAATCTTTGTTCAGTGGAAAAATATCAAATTGTTCAAGGCTATCTCCATATTTGTAAGTGAATTCATTAATGGTTGATCAGATAATGATGAAATGTAAACTGATCGCCTTGATATCATGTCCCCACGAAAAGAGAGAAAGCAAAGCGATCTTTTCAACCATATTTGTTATCTTTGTATAAATTTGCCTGACTGATAGACTTCTGCTTTTACAGACACTTATTAATTGCTTCTTTCGAATGCTGAATTCTCCTGCTCCTGAGCTGCACTGGGTCCTTCACTCTAACAGTTTCCATTCCACAGTTGTGATTTGTTAAGCGTCAATTAGTGTTGAAGAGCTGTTGACTTTTTTTTGATTCAGCATGATAACTTTTTTTTAACTGGGATCTAATGCGCATTTTTCATAATAGGTGCTGAGTCGCGCTTAACATCTAAATCTTGGTAATCAGTTTCCTGAGCCAGACAGTTTCACAGTATTCCAGGGCACTGTTGATGATAGGATGTATAGGGATAGAACAGTCACTGGAGTAGGTATTGTTGCCAGCCTTTCTGTTAGCCCTACAAGCCAAAGCCCTAATAGGTAGAATGGTCTTAGCTGGAGAAGTCTGCCAGGCAGTGCTCTCAATGACAAACTGTGGATTTAGTTGGTAACTTCCAGCAGTGTGCCCATTGGACACTCTGGGGTCCTCAAGCCTTGGCTCTTGTCAAACTGCACATAATACTCTATGGAATTAGATAAACATGGTGTGTCCCTTCCAGGGAATGTGTGTGAATTCTATTTCAAATGCAGGGACATTTTTATGTGTAGGTGGCATGCATATGGAGAACTGTTTAAATTTGATTCCTAAGCATGCTAATGGGTTCCCACAGGTCAGACACCAAGTTGGCCAGAAAAAAGTAATTGCTACTGCTGCTAACTGGAAGGTTGTCATCCTGACTCATAGCAAATTGGCTGATTTACTTCCAGTCACAGGTTGGAGTGACACTTCTGTTTAACGGCATAAATCATTTAAGAATCTGGGTCAACTTGTGTGTGCTAAATCACTGTATGTAAGATCCTGCTGTGTTCGTAAATGTGCATTCTTGGATTGAGAAGTTGTAAAAATGTTTGGTATTGGTCTATATGTGGAAAAAGTAACAAACTATTTGATCTTGTGATGCAGATAAAAAATAATAGATTAAAGGTGAGTGCTGCTAGTGAATATGAGCATCACATTTGGAAACCATTCATCGTGTGCCAGAATTTTCTTATTACTGTCCAAGTCATAATGCAAAACAGTTGCAATGTATAATACCACTCAAAAAGCAGTTTCCGGAGGCTAGTATGTAATTAGTTGACCTATAATATTCATATCGGTCGCAAAAGTTTGTAAATTCAGTGTTCCGTTAGTCTGCTCTTAGCATAATTAATTATGCTGTCAATTGGACACCACTTTTCAGAAAGTGGTTTACCTCATGTACTGCTTTATGATTCCGGCTTGTGAAACAGCTGGTTTTAACCACAATCGGTGGAGCAATATACTGTAAAGTTTATTGCCGCCTTGTTTTCATTCTGCAAATGGAACAAGTGAAATAAAGCCTTCACTGCTTTGATCTGCAGGCTCCTTAGTTGAGAGTTGTAGTCCCATTCAAAATGAAACTCTGGCAATTTGATGCATTTTTTTCTTTCAGGATTACTAGTTCCTTCAGCAAGATTGGTTGTTTTAAGTGTGAAACCATCTTGGAAATGTGCCAGACATAATGAGTGTGTCTTCTAGGGTGGATCCTTGAAACCAATCTGAATCAATAGCTCGGAGTGCTCACCCATCAGTGCATCAGTTGGAAAATGTCTATGCGAACCTCATGACCGTCAATACTATAGTTCCAGCCGTGAAGATGAGAATTAATTTCTACTTCAATAAACTTCCTTAGTTCCAAATGGATAGATCTGTGTAAATGTCTGTAATGACCCAATGCAGTTTGTGTTTTAAGAAAATAAAATCAGACAAGTTGCATTTTTATATATATAGATATATATAGGACCGTTTAATCATGGTGGCATTTCAGAGTACCAGACCAGCATGAAGGTGTCAGAATTGTGCAATTAGTCTAGTAAACCTATACCACAGGGTGACCAAATGTCATGGTACCATTACAAAGCCTAATAAATCTTAAAGAAATTATGATTTTTTTTAGATGATAGGGTAGATTCACAACTTTTTGGTCATCCTGTAGAAATAAACCAGCTCCAGTGCTAATTATGTTTCTGCTGGGAATTGCTCTGTGTGTCCCAGACATGAAATCTTTTCCAGGTATATGTGGAATGTTGCAATATCCCTTTTCTGTAAGGAGTAGAAGGATTCTCCTGGAGACAAATTTCCCCACTGAATCGTGACTGATTTAAAACAATAAAGAAATTTGGTCACAAAGAATTCATACTAAAGTACAACCGTAATTTGTATGCATGAGATTAGGAATTCCAATTTTCGCCCCTCAGCTTCAAACCTTTGGTTTTCATCATAGCTGTGGCAAGCTACTCGGCTAAGCAAATTTCTCCATATAAAATGGATTGATGTGGAGGGAATTGAGGACCAACCTATGCCATAGCCTCTATCCCCTGGCTGTGGACAAACTTTACCTGATTGGGTAGAATTTGCTCAGGTACCTGCATGGATGATATAAACTAAATGGCATTTAGTACTTTCTCACAGTTCACACGGAAAAGTCACAGTTCCACTGTAATTCCAAGGCAATTGTAATTATGGAGACTCAAATCAGTTGATGGTTTTCCACTGGACTTTTTAAATTAAGAGATTATCACAGAGATGATAGATTTTACACTGCATCTTTCCTAGCAATA